AATGGTGGGTTATGATTGGTTGCTTTTGGACCAATCATGAGGTGCCGGATATGCAAATTTGAGGGATTCTAGTGGTCAATCAGAGCAAGGTTTCGAAGGTCAGGTTTTTTGAAGGGAACCAATCATGGTAATTGTTTGCTCTCTGAGGAACCTTGGCAGACTCGCTGGTGCGCAGCCTCCCACAGTATGAGGGCCATTTTAATGAATAAGCCTCCATGTCTCCAGAGCAAGTTTGATTAAAAACAAGGTACTTGTAACTCAGGTTTTTAAAGTTTTATTATAAATTTATTTATTTCTTCTATGAACAAAAGAGATAGAGACAGAAATAGAGAAATAATAGCCTCAACAGGGCCTTTTTTTTTTTTTTTAGATTTATTTAATTTTGTTATTATTTTAAAAATTTGACCAGAGGGAGTCAGACAGAAAGGGAAAGTGAGAAAATGAGCTGCCAGGTCTGGGACTCAAACTGCAGTCAGCCATGTGGGAATCTAGCACCTTCTTTAACCACCATGCCATCTGCCAGCCAGCCCTACTCAACAGGGTCTTAATGCCACAGTCCACCCCCGCCTTAGCCAGCCCTGAACCATGGGCATGCATGTACCTGGTATTGTCAGGGAGGCCTGTGGATGCAAACCTAGAACTTGACCTTTAGACAAATGTAGAAATGGGCTTTTGTGTGAGCTACTCTAGCAATGGCTATTGAGAAGTATTTACATACAAAAGTGGTATCTGTCGTTAACGGTTATTTTCCTGTTGTTGTTGATATCTGATACCCCATACTATTGGGCAGTATGAGGCTAAAAGAAGTTATTGTGTTTATTAGATTCTCCCCCAAAACAACTGGCTTTGCATTCCTTCTCCCCCATTCTCTTTGCAGCCTATTTCCTCTTCCCCTATTTTCTCCCCTTAAAAAGAATAAACCTGAGGCCGGTTCCTAGTCGCAACTTCTCCATCAGAGAGGCTGGGCCTACTCAATCCTCACTTTTCTATTCTTGTGTGTCTTTGTGTGTGTGTTACTGCGTTATTTCTAATCCACAGTCTTCCCCACTCAGAAGAACATTTCAGCCAAGAACATTTCAGGTCCCGGCAAGTGGCGCCCAACGTGGGGCATCATGTTTTATCCTTACACCACTGTCTGGCCTCCAGCCCAGCTTTTGTTGAGTCTAGAGTCCAGATTTGCCCCCAGTAGGAGGATCTGGAAATCTTACACTTGCTAAGGATAACATGAAAAGAGGCTTGCTTTGGAGAAAGCACTTTGTACCCAGGTAGTATCATTACTTCCTATAGATTTATCCCCAGCTGTGTAATCTCATATGATCTTACAAAACGGCCAGATGCACGGGCCACTGAGAGGAGCAAGGAACTCGCTGCTATTTCCAGCATCACACATCGCACTGGGTTAGTTCCCTTATCTTTTCTTTCCAGATAGATTTAAAAAGTTTTTCAGACAGCATCTCACTACCTTGCCCACGTTGAACTCAATTTGTGACCCTCCTGCCTCTACTTCCTGAGTAGCTGTGATTACAGGTGCATACCACGCAGCTAGGCTCCTTTTCACTTTTAGTAAAGTTTCTTAAAATATGGTAATGAGAGGCCAGCAGGTGGCACGGTGGTTAAAGGTGCTGGATTCCCACATGGCCAGCCATAGTTCGAGTCCTGGACCTGGCGACCTGCTTTCTCGCTTCTCCTTTCTCTCTCTGTGTATCTCTGTCTGATCAAGTTGAAAAATAATAACAAATGAAATTAAATAAAAATAATTCTTTTAAAAAAACATGGTAATGAACCTAACTTGCACAGTTAGATTTTTTTCCATCTCAACTTCAGTGATAAAGAGTTTGCCATGCTGATTTCTTACAGCCTAAAAAATATGAAATGTTAGAGGGGGTAGTCTTAATGGCTATTTTAGATGCATTCTAAATAATAGAGTAATGTCTTTCATTTAGTATACTGATGGAACTGTGTAATTTAGATAAGCATTAAATAAAAATTTCATATTTTTGGCAACTACCAGGTTGTGTCAGTCAGTTGTAATAGATCCTTTATTTTTCAGTTTTGCTATAATAGAGCATTTGGACTCACTGAGTGAAACAGAGAGAGGGAAAGTGAGAAATCACCCCCTCAGGGGATGGCCACACCACAATCCCTTCTCCATTCTCCTCTCAGGATTTTGGGCAGGTGTGATTCAAGCTGCCATGTCCAGGACTCAAACAACACAGTTGGCCATGTAGGATCCAGCTGCCTTAATCTCCATGCTACCTACCTTTCACATTTTAAACTAATATGTCCTTAAAATCCTGAAGACTCAAATACAAGAGTACAAGCACTCCTTACTTAATCACCACATCCCGTTCCTGCAACTATGTCTCTAAGTAAATTGGTCAATAAGTGAGGAGCTTAAAAATATATGTCTTGTGTGTCTTGTTGCCATAGAGAATGTATTTTTCAATAGATATCATGGGATACCACACTAGAATAATGTCATTCTGGCCATAAAAAAGCATCCATTAGATAAGTGCCAGGAAGCAACAAGGCACACTACAGCACAATATTATAAAACTGGCATGGGACCAGCAGGTGGCATGGTGGTTAAGGTGCTGGACACTCCCACATGGCCAACCATGGTTTGAGTCCTGGACCTGGTGGTTTGCTTTCTCACTTTCTCTCTGTCTGTCTCTCTCTTTGTCTCTCTCTCTCTCTGGTCAAATTAAAAATAAATGAATGAATAAATAAAACTAACTCTTTAAAACCAGCATAATAGTGTGTGTGTTTATTCTGAGTACTACCATGGGTGCATGATGTATAGATTTATAAATGAAATATGGAGTCTTGTATAATAGTGAATGCTTCATGCATTGAACTAACTGACTGTGGGTACAGGATAAGGACTGAGGGGATTCCTGAGACTCATGCAGACTGAGAAAGGGGATTCCCATGCCAGAGACCTGGTGGTAAGTCTGAGCGGTTGCTCTGTGGCTGTATGTACTTGAACCACCGAGTTGGGATGTAACACGGTTGATAGGCTGGTTCACTTGCTTGTCAACAGTCTGGTCTGTCAGCCTCAAATTCAGTTTTAGGCTTGTATGTAGCCAAATCAAAAAGTATGTTCAAGGCCATGGGGGTGAAATGGGTGAAGCTTAGAAAGCATTAAAGCCAATGAAAAACTGAAAGACCAGTCTTGCTTTTCAGCTCATTACTCTGCGGCATTTTCGTTTTGGCTCTAGCCAGTTAAACCAGTGACTTGATTTTCAACACTTGACAAGCTAAAACATTTGGTCTGTTAGTTTATAGAAGCTTAATAAAGTGCTTTCGTAATGTTTTTAAAAGCATTGTGCATTTGTTACAGACTGATTATTTGCTTAACAGGAAACCTGGCCTAGCTGCCATGGAGCAGAGGTAATGTGAGTGCCCTTTGGCCGTCCATGGGTTTGGATTCCCAAGTTGGCCTGAAAACACACTAGGTAGGTACATAGATGCCCAGGTCTCTGAAAGCGGGGTGGGAGTGGGGGTGGGGTGGGGGGAGGGATTATGGCATAAGGGGACCCTGACAAAGTTGGATTTTCTCTCCTTCACCCTCTCATGGGTACTTGCTTACATTATTATCATTAAAAAAAAAAGTATAGCCCTGTAAAAACTGTCAAACTGGTATAACCTGAATTTTCTTGACAAGAAAATGGTCTTTTAGCAATAAGGCTCTGACTTGGTGAGAATGTCCAGTGACGTGTTAGCTGTGTATTTTTTAAATTTAAAAAAGTTTGCCAGAGGGCATGTGTACACACCAGAGAGAGACAGGAAGAAAGCAACCCCCAGTGCAGCATGGTCATTCCACAGTCCTTTCTCCATCCTGTAGGGATTGTGGGCGTGCCTGCACACACACAGCTTTGTCCCTCAAGCTGCCTGGGCTGGAATTTGAACCACACAGTTGGCCATGTGGGATCTAGCTTCCCCAACCACTAGGCCATGGGGCTGGCTTTGTGTGGTGTATTTTTAACACTCCTATTTTTAGGATACTCAGAAAACATGGAGATTGCTTTATTCATTTTTATAACTGGGAGAAAAAACTTCTCAAAGAAAAGGTTAGGGTTTTTAGTGTTTATATAACATCTTAAAAATTAATACCAATGAAAAGATAAGTTTGGTTTTACTTTAGGGGAACACAAAATATTTGATTTCTCTAAAAGCCATAATTTGCTTCATGCCAAGCATAAGAAGCCTCCTTTGCACTTAGTTGGTAGATTTGTATAGCAACTTTTTAAGAATAACTTACATTAAATGGCAAGTGTGACTTGGATCAGTCAATGAAGATGAAGCCATTTTACACAAAAGCCTAACCTATTTCAGATACTCACAGCATTTTCTCTTTTGATTTGTCTTTAGATAGTGAGAGTCACCAACACTTCTAAACCATAGTGATAACAAAAAAGCTATGTATAATAAATATATAAGTACAGTGTCAGTACAGACATTGCAAAATAAATAGATTTACCTTAAACACTAACTTGATCTGCTTTTGCTTCTGAAAAAAATAGGTTAGGTTTCTTGTTAAGACATTACAACTCTGTAGATATCATACATCATTCTAAATTCATTTTGTGAAAACTAAAAGTTGAATAAACTATGAATAGATCAGCAATGTCCTTTAAGAAAAAGACCAGTATCATTTCTATGTGAATAAAGAAAAGTGGACTATGGTACACAATATAGGAACTAAGTTGAATACTTTTAATGAATCTTATTTTATAGGACATATTTACATCTGCAATGCCCAAAAGCTTCCAATTCTCAGCCATACACCATGGCTAAACTAGCTCTTGTTTTCAGAGCTCTGTGCGTCTTGTTCCCAGCTGTATGAGGAGGGTTGGCAAACTATGGCCCTTGGACCAAATCCAGCCTCTCACCTGTTTCTCTACGACCCTGAACTAAGAATAGTTTTTACATTTTTAAATGGTGGGAAAAAATTCCAAAGGATATTTGTGACATGTGAAAATTATATGAAGTTCCAATTTCAGTGTCCATAAATAAAGTTTTATTGGAATACATACATGTTCATCCGTGTTTGTACTGTCTATGCTGCCTTTGCCCTACAACGGCAGAGTTAAGTAGTTGACCACCGAGACCGTATGGCCTCCAACCCTAACAGATTCACTATCTGGCCTTTTACATAGTTGCTGACCTTCGTTCTCCGTCCTGTACTACAAGCCTAGAGATGTCTTTTTCCCAACTGAAAACATTTGTGAGTGACAATTCCTTGGGCTGCTTTTCTTCATCAGTAAGTTGGTTGGTGGCCACAAGCCCAGTACCATTTTGCTTGTCCTCAGCGTGGACCTCACAGGTGTGAAGAAGGCTTCATTTCAGAAATCATCAATTTCCAGTTTAAGTCTAATGAAAAAAAGAGAGAATTACATTTGTTGGTTCTTGACTTTAACTTCTTGCCATAAGATCTTCATCTGTAACGGTTGCACACGTAGGCTTGTTAATATATGGGAAAAGACGCAGCAGAAACATTTACAGGACAGCAGGGGTTCACAGTGGTCTGACCCACAGAAACCCACAGCTCTGGTGGTTGGGTTTGTCCTACGAACTCAGTGTTAGGACACCATGTTCCTGGGAGGTAGGACATGAGGCTATTTCTGCTCTGGAACACCACATTCCTTAGAAAGTTTTTGTTTTTTATCAGAGTCAAACTATTCAACTTAAGAAAAGGTGGAATTCTTTCAGCTATTAGATTAAGGTGGTACTGTTCATTCTTAGATGATTATTATGGAAACTTTGAAGGCCATCATTATAGAATAAATAACAAAATATCTTACTCAGCATCAAAAATACTGAATTTATTTTCTCATGGGCATATACACAAAAGCCTTTCTTAGAAACATTATGTAAAAGAGGTCACAAAATGGGATGTGAATTCCCATAGATGCAACAATGGCTATTTTTAAAGAGAAGCTTCCCCAACTTTAAGCGAAGCTCTCTAAGTCAAGTGAATTATTCTAAGTATTTGCTTGCTATAGGAGAATTTAATCTAAAGGTAATTGCCTGAATCATCACCCTTCGCTAATATCCTAAAATTATAAGCAATTAATAGTGTTCATTACAGAATACGTGTGTGTGTGTGTGTGTGTATGTATGTATGTATATATATATTTGCTATATGGTGTGTGCACTTGTTGGGGGTGGTAGTGAGAAAACACCCCCTGGGGGAATGGCCATGCCTCAGTCCCTTCTCCTTTCTTCCTGGGATTTTAGCATGCACACATGTTCTTGGCCATGCATGTGCACCTTAACCACCACATCACTGGCTGGCCCCAAGAATGCATATTTTTTCAAGTAAAATGTTTAGTGGAGTTATATCCTCACATACTTGGTGTAACCCTGTAGTACACAGAGGACTCCTTGTGTATAGAGTAATATATATATATATTTTTTTTTTTGAGAGGTTTTTGCTATAGGGCGCGTGTGCTCACCAGAAAGACAGAGACAGAGACAGAAAGCGAGAAATCAACCCCCAGGAGGATGGCCATGCCGCAACCCTTTCTCCTCCATTCTCCTCTAGAGATGTTGGGGACCCACGCACATGCGCCCAGTGTGAATTTAAGCCACCGGGTCCGGGACTCGAACTACAGTCAACTACATGGGAGTCCAGCAACATAGCCATTACACCAACTGCTGGTCCCTAGAGTAGTATACTTATGACCAATTAGCATTACTGTGACTGTACTCTGTCACAGAAGTTATAACAGGTGTGTGTGTGACGGTGTAACTCCTGAGTTTTATTTGATGCTAAGTTCTGAATATGGAAACAATGTTTTAGTATTCTTTTCTTTTTTTTCCGACAGGGTTTCACTATGTTGTGAACCTCCTGTCTCAGCCTCCTGAGTAGCTGGGACTACAGGTACACGCCACCTGGTTTGGCTTTTTTTTAAAGAGTGGGCCAGGAATTGAACCCAGGTCTCCCATGTGGCCTTAGCTTGCTGATTAGCAGTATCTACCAGCAGGTGCTCCTACAGCTGGGCCAATATTTAAACCACACACACACACACACACACACACACACGTATTTTAAAATATTTTTTTAGAGAAACTTTTGCTGTAGAGTCCATGCACTGACCAGAGACACAAAGACAGAGAGAGAAAGTGAGAAATTACGCCCCCCCCGGGGGGCAGGGAGAATGGTCAACTGCAATCCCTCTCCTCCATTCTCCTCCTGGGATTCTATGCACGTACACATGCATGCACACGTGCCTGATGTCAATTTCAAGCTGCTGGGTCCGGGACTCAAACCATGGTTGGCCATGTGAAAGTCCAGCACCTTAACCACTATGCCACCTGTTGGCCCTGAAAATTTAAAACTTTTGATCACTGTCATGATGGCAGGCTCACAGACCCACTGCCATGGTGAATCATTTTGTAAAAGTTGGAGAGAGAGGCCAGCCTGTGGTGTGGTGGTGAAAGCGGCTGAGTTACATATGGCTGATCTTGTGATTCAAGTCTCAGACCCGGCGACTTGAAAAACATGCCAGGCACGTGTATGGAGGCTCAAAGTCCCAAGAGGAGGGGCAGATGCAGGAGAAGGGATTGTGGCATGATTGTTCCCCATGGGACATGCTTTCTCACTTTTGCTGTCTCCTGTGAGTACACATGCCCTCTGGCAAAATTAAAACAAGAAACAAACAAAATTAATGTTGGATGGAGACCAGCAGGTGGCGTGGTGGTTAAGGCACTGGCCACTCCCACATGGCTGACCATGGTTTGAGTCCTGGACCTGGTTGCTTGCTTTCTCACTTTCCCTCTCTTGCTCTCTCTGTGTCTCTCTCTGGTCAGATGAAAAGTAAATGAATGAATGAATAAAATAATAAAATGATTCTTAAAAAATTAATGTGGAGAGGCAGTGCTGGTCCTTGGTCCTAAAGCTCTTTTTTGGAGGTGGGACTGATTGTCTCAACATCACCAGTGCAGAAAAGAAAATGAGTCTGGAACTTATAAAACTGTGATTCTAGATGTAGCTCAATAGAAAAAGCACGGAGCCTCCTCAGAGGCCCACTGTTTGATATACTCACTACTACCTGATGCTGCGTCCTGTGGACTGTTGCCAGAGTTGAGATTTCTCTCTCTCAGTAACCTTGATTCTCAGAACAGAGGGATGAGCAGCGGGAGGAGACAGTTGCCTGTATTTGGCCTTGTCTGTTCCTGAAAGCTGCAGCTCTTTGTAGAGCACCCATTATTTTAGGAGTTGCTCCTTAACATAGGAAAATGGTCTCAATGTACGGACCTTTTTTTGGGCCAAATTCATGTTTGGTTTCTTTGGGTGTCTTTATTCAGTTCCCATATACATAATTTGCCTGAAGTTAAAATGAAATTTATTCTGTTTATGAACCCCAAGGAGAGGGCTGGCTCTGAAGCCCTAAATTTACTGCATTTTCAAGATGAGAGTTGTTACATTATTTTGCTTTTTAATCATCACATCCTGCCAGAGAAACATCAAATCATGCCAGACTTTTATTTTTTATTCATTTTTTAAATTTTGCCAGAGGGCATGTGCACTCACCAGAGAGAAGGAGAGAAAGTGAGACCATCCCTTCATGGGGAATGGTCACACTGCAATCCCTTCTCCATCTCTCCCTCATTTGGGGATTTTAGGCGCACGTATATATGCACTCAGTATGTTTTTGAAGCCGCTGAATCTGGGGCTTGAATCACACAATTGGCCATGTATAGGATCTAACTCCCTTAACCATCCAGCCATAGGCTGGCCCGATTTATATTTTGCTTATGAAGATGGGATGAGGTTGTTTAGGCTAAATCAAGCCTAAGTTAGAATAGCATAAGACAGTACTACAAAGAAATAAATGCTGAATAATCCATGGAGCCCTTGAAGATCGTCAACGTGAATTATCAATAATTAAGGCACTTCTGTGTCTGATTCAATGAGGCTGATGTAGTATTTTGGGCAAGCCGGTTGCCCTTTGGCAGCCTTTGATTAGTTATTATAAATTAGGAAGACTAAAATGATGAAAGCTCAAGATACATGTATCTTCCGAGCCCTTTCCCCGTTTTAAGGCATCACTCCTGCCTGACTTCAGGGGATAGCTTCCACTTGGAAAAGAAAAAGATATTGTTCCAACTGTGCCTTACAAGATAGTTTAAATTATGGCTTTTTTTTTTTTTTTTTAATTAATGTTTTTGCTATAGGGCACATGTGCTTGCTGGAAAGAGAGACAGAAAGAAGGAAAGTGAGAAATCACACCCCTTACCCCCCCCCCCCCCCCGGGGGGGAGGGGATGGTTGTGCTGCATTCCTTTCTCCATTTTCCTCTTGGAATTTGGGTACATGTGCACACATGCTTGGCATGATTTTTCAAGCCTTCAGGTCTGTGACTTGAACCATGGTCAGCCACGTGGGAGTCCAGCGCCTTAACTACCATGCCACCTCCTTCTCCCTAGTTGTGCCCTGTTCGATAATGGTGCAGTGGCTTAGTGTACCTGGGTGGAACGTGCTGCTGTTGGTCACTGTCGATAGTCCATGGTGTCACTGGAGGACAAGCCACTTACAGGTTTCTCCTCCTTGTTTTGGACACCTTCGAAGGCCACAAGCTGAGTTGGCGATGTGAGTCCTCGGGGCTGTCTGGTTGATTTGGTGAGCTTCTTGAGTTCACTTGCAAAAGAAATGCCTTTTCTTTTATCTTCCCGGGATGCCTGCAGGAAAAAAGAACCTTCCATCGATATTAGGTAAACTCAGAGTCCTTGAGCACATGACAGAAGTCAGAAGAGCCCTTTCCTCCTCCTCTGGGAAATAAGCTACGGAAAGAAGGGCCGCTGGACTCTCCTCTCAAGGCTGTTTACCCACAGAGGGGAGCATGCTTCTTTTCATGCAGCGAAAACAAAAACAGTTTTCTCCCAACTAAATTCTCTGACTCGGGAACTTTCTCGTGTATCTCACTGGCTCCCAAATGTGATTTCAGTGTGATTATGTATACAAAATAATTTATGAAGAGAGCAGAATGACTCAACTTTACCTGCACCTGCTCCTTTAGCTTAAGGATGAATTTCCCTGCACCTTTCCACTTGCTTTGGGCTTGAAACACACATTCCTGATCCAGAAGGACCCGCTGGGAGGACTTGGGGATGGAAGACTTCTTGTTGGCAGTGTCCTTCACCACCTCCTCCAGGAGCACGTAGTCGCTGGGGTTGGGGTTGCTGAGGATGCTGTAGGAGTACTTGGCTTTGCATAAGGTCTGAAAGACAAGGTGTGAGAAGCTGAATAGAGACATAGTACCTCTGACATTTGCCTTCATTCTAAATGAAACCAGGGAGGAACACCGGCATACATGGTTAGAGGCGGAGCGGCTCTTCTGGGTCATGTCATCCGGCTTGTTTTACATGGGTGCAATTGTACTTGTGGTGTACCTCACTAGCCTCCCAGCAGTCCATGAGTAACTCATCTTGTCCTCATTTTTGATGAGGAAGCCTAAATATACAGAGGTTAAGCAAATCCCAGAATGCACAGAATAGTAAGTGACAGAATAAAGACTTGAACTGGCTTCTGCAGGCACCAAAACCAGACACAGAGGTCGTGCAGCCAGTGAGGGGTGGGGCGCTGCCCCGTGGAGCCTCTTGGCTGCCTCTTTATCACAGGGGCTTAGATGTTGAAAGACTTCCAAAAGTCACCTGATCTCCCATTCCATTTAGTACAAGAATAGATTTCATGTACGCATTTATTCACATATCAAATGTCTAGTGAGGACCCACCTCTTATATTCTAGGTACTGTGCAGTGCTTTGGGAAAACAAAGATGAGCAAAAAAGATATAAATGTCTGGGTCCTTTGGAATCCCAAATCAATACTGAACAGATTATCATGCACTCGGAATAGCAAATAGTTCTGAAATAGAGTTTACCATGTCCTAGGCATTGTGTACACACACACACACACACACACACACACACACACACACGTGTGCACTCACCAGAGACAGAGAGAGGGAGAGAGGAGGAGAGGGAAAGTGAGAAATGATCCCCAGGGGATGGTCACACTGCAGTCCCTTCTACATTTTCCTCACAGGGTTTTAAGCATGTACCCACATGAGCCAGGCATCATTTTAAGCCACAATGTCTGGGACTCAAACCAGGAAGTTGGCTGTGTGGGATCTAGCACCTTGGCCTCCACACCAGCTGCTGGCCCCACACTGTCCACAAATTGACTTACTCTCCACAATGGTCACATGAAGACCGTACCATCACACTGTTCACATGGCCTGTGTGCTGACTTACCTCACAGTGGTGTGCTGGAGCCAACTTTACCTGCACCTGAACAAGCTAGTGAAATCGGCCATGGCAGGAGCATTTACACAACAGAAGTAAATCAGGATTTAACATGGTTTAAAGAGAGCTGGTTTACAAGCACACTGCCATAATAACCAAGGCACAGATTTGAGGCCTTGCTCAAGATCTCAGAGTAAACAAAAAGCTGAGCTGGGATTAGAACCTAGAGCAATTTGGTCTCGGGTCTTTGCTCTTAACCATTAAGCAGTATCATTTCTCGAATAGGTGTTTAATGAATGCAAACCATGATGAGGCTATGAGGGAAGTAAACAGCTCTCTGCAACCATGGAAACAAAGAAGTATGGCCTAGAGGAGGGAAGATGGTCAGTGTGAGCGTCCTGTTTGTCCTCTCTGATCTTTGAGAGACGGTCATTAGGTGTGAGCTCAGGCATTTCTGGGAAATGAAACCACTCCTCTGCAGGGCCACCTCCGGAATCCATGATGATCAGTGCTCTGTAGAGATCAGGCCAGGCCCACCACAGATACCAGCTACCTATCTGCTGAGGCATGAACTAATACTGCCCAGCCTCAAGAGGCACACACTCCCTGTGTAGGCACCCGTTCTAGAACTTCACTCATCAAGTGAGCTGTCCATGCAGAGACATCTGATTTGCTCAGTGATTGACCATGAGGAAGGGCCTGCGGGGAGCAGGGAGGTCTTCACCTGCTGAATGACGTCCTGGGCAGTGCTCATGCGGGGTGCTTTGATGACGGTGCGAGGTTGCTCTGGAGAAACATCGTGTACCTGGACAAAGAAGCTCTCCTCCTCTGAGCTCAAGATCACCTCTTTGTCATCTTGCACAATGATTTTCTCTTCTAGGGTCTGTGTTATAGAAGAAAAAAGGTGTGAGTGAAGGGCAAGATGATGCAGAATCAAGAAAGAAGACTCTAGCAAAAATTTCAGCTGTATTTTGGTAATGTGTAAACAACATCTTAGCTTTATACTTCATATACTATCAACTATATATTTCATTCATAGTCATATTAACTATATATTCCAATAACTATTCTAAAAGGACATCCCTGTCTTGTGAGAGGAAGAAAGTACTGTATTTCTGCTGATGTTGATTCATGAGAACGAACCACCTAATCTGCTCCTATGTTTTGAGAGTCCAAATAAACCGCAGATGAATTTGTAGAAAGATAAAGTCAGAACACCGTGAGTTTCACTTGAGAGAAAGCCCACTAACCCCACATAGACCTTAAGCATTTAAGAAATACTGGAGGGCCAGTTCTGTGGTGCAGTGGTAATGCTCAAGAGAAGCTAGGTCCCATATAGCAACTGTAGTTCAAATCCCTCGTCCGGTCAGTCTGAACCACGTCAGGCACCTGGGCAGGTGCCCAAGACTGGAGGAAGGGATCACAGCACGACCAGGCCCTGGGAGGGTGCTCTTTTCTCTCTCTTCTGCAATGTGCATATGTTCTATCATGAATGAAAACCACTTTAAAAATGCTAGACATGTGGGACCGGCTATTAGCGTAATGGCTATATCGCTGGACTCCCATGTAGTTGACTGTGGTTCGCGTCCCGGACCCGGTGGCTTAAAACTCACACCGGGCGCATGTGGGTGCATGTGCGTGCGTGCCCAAGATATCCCAAGAGGAGAATGGAGGAGAAACCTCTTCCAAAAAAAAAGAGAAAGAACAATTCCAAAAAAAAAAAAAAAAAAAAAAAAACTAGACATGTGAAATGGGAATCATGTCACCATGACACTCAGCCAGGCTGGCTGAACTAATTCATGGTGAAAGGGCTGAAATGATGGCTGGATATAAGGCACATTGAAAGGAATATCAACATCATTCTCCATAATTATGAGAATCAGCCAGTCGGCTAGTTGACTTTCAGTGAAAAAAAAAAGTATATATCTAATGACCTTATTAGAATTTTCTAACATGGGCCAGCCAGTGGCATGGTGGTTAAGGTGGCTGGATCCCATTTGGCCAACTTAATGGTTTCAGTCCCAGACCTGGTGGCTTGAAAAACATGCTGGGCACATGTGTGTGCATATGTGTGTGCGCAAGACCCTGAAAACAGAGAAATGGAGGCGAAGGGATTGCAGTCTGGCCGGCCCCATGGGAGGAAGTGTGCTCTCTTCTGTCTGTCTCTCTCTCCAGTGAGCACATGCAACCTCTGCCAAATTAAAAATAAATTCTAACTGTGCATCAGTATATTAATAGTAAAGCAACTTCTCCATTTTCACCTTTCCCCCTTCCTTCTCTCCCAGAATCTCAATTGTTAAGTTACATGTCTTTCTAAACATCTGCAGTAGGTATACAAATGTATTTTTATATGTGAATAAATATAATCAACAGGCTCTGGAATTATGGGACTTGAGCTATAATGGGATGTCAGGATGGCTCCTGTTCTCCGTCAGTCCTTGTTTTCAAGTGGGGGTGACTTGAAGTGATCTGCAAAAAGGAGACTCAATGGGAAGAAGCAAGGCAGATAAACAGTTGGTGACCCCCTCGCCGGGAGAAAGGACTTGCCAGGAGCATTCTCCAATCTCCAGCACTCTCCCAGCCTGATTTCCCTGGGCCAGGCTCTGCAATTGTGTTAACTAACCAGAATTCTGGAAATTCCAACCAGCCACAGGACCAGAATCATCCCCACTGATAGGCGTCAGAATGGCTAACTGCCACCAGGGGGCGCCAAGCTACGTGGACCGTGCCAGCCAGCTGCTTGGGTCTGCTCCAATCATTTCCCTAACCTTAAGTCACGACACTGCAATTCACATGACTTAAGTTTTTTTGTACCCCATGTTGTTGGCTTTTATTACAGAAAATGAGATTGCACTCTTCTACATATGCTGTTCTATAACTCATTTCCACACAAGATTATGCTCATTTCAAGTCTAGTCTTTCCTTTTAAACATTTAAAAAAAATTTTTTTTTTTTTTTTTTGTCACAGGGTGTGCATGCTCCCTGGGGGAAGAGAGGGAGAGAGAGAGAAAGTGAGAAAGGGCCCTTCATGGAGAATGGTCATGCCATAATCTCTTATGTTCCATATCCCCCCCCCTTTTTTTTTGGATTTTGGGCACGTATGCACATGTTTTTCAAGTCTCCAGGTCTGGGTCTTGAACCTCACAGCCGGCCATGTGGGATCCAGCCACCTTAACCACCACACCATTGGCTGGCCCACCTGTCCATTCTTAGAGATCTTAATGCATGATAGGATTTGGCTGCAAAATATGTTATTTCATTGATAATCATATATATATATTTTTTTTCTTTCTTTTTATTCCCCTTTTGTTAGGTTTTTGCTCTAACAGGCACTAACAGGAAGGCGCCTCACCCCCAAATGTAAACATCTCTAGGCCTTCATTCCACAATAATGTGCCCCTCACAACAGTGTCTTTTCATGCATGCATGTGAGGACTTCAGTGAGTCTGTGGAAAAGTGGAATTCAAGTGTGAGTGTCGGGGCCAGCTGGTGGCATGGCGGTCACACAGTGGGCCCACGTGGGGGAGATCCTGGGCCTCCCTGAGCACAGGGGCACGTGTGAGCATGCCCAGGATCCCAGCTGGCTTGTTTAAGGTGGAGCATATGAGAAGACCTTGTCAGCGAGCCTGTCTGTCTGTCTCACTGTCCTTCCCTCTCTCAGAAGAAATTTTTAGGAAATACAAGTTCTTAGTGCAAAACTATTTTGAAATCCATGCATAGTTTTTTTTATAATACACCTTTTCTGTGGTCCTTTTTGAAAATCCCTTGTAAATAAAATACTGGACCCACAGCTGATAACAGGTACAAGGAATCCTTTTTTTTTCCAAGTTGCCAGAGGGTGTGTGCACTTGCCACGAGAGACAGAGAGAGGGAGAAAGCACTCCCCAGCCGAGTGGGGCACGCTCACGCTACATCCCCTCCTCCATTTCTACATCCTCTCAGGATCTAGGGCACATATGCCCATGTGCCTACTAGTTTTTAAGCTGCCAGTGCTGAAATTCAGACCACACCGTCGGCCATGCGGGATCTGGCTCCCTTAACCACTAGGCTACAGGGCCTGCCCAAGGAGTCTTCTAAATTCTTGTTCCCTTTGTTCTGTAAGGGATGGTTTTTGGACTGAATTTCTGTAATTTAGAGATAATATTCTGAATATATGTAAAGAATAAAACCATTTCTCCACATTTTCTCAAGATGAATAATATAAACCAAATTGCAATTACGAGGCATTCTGGGAGTGAGGGAGGTGGTGAGTGGAGATATGGCCAATCACACAGTGACCTATGACCCTGAGGGTCATTCCAGGGCACACTTACTTCCTGCTGGGTTTTCAGAACAATCCTGCCCACATAACCCTCTTCTGGAAACCAGCTGCTTAATATCTGTAGGATTTCTTCTTCTGGACCAATGGCTCTCTGGAACGGTTGTTTCCTGCATTCATTCTTTTCTTTAGAAATAAAATATTTTTCTTCCATCAAAAAATAGTCAGTGGTGATAGGTTTGGGGTCCTGTTCAGTCAGCAGGATCTAAAGAAAAAGCAAACAAATTTAAGCACATTTCTGAGGAGCAGGGCAAAAATTTGAGACAAATCTGTATTCAGTGTTCAATGGGTCTGACGCACAATTTTTTTTTTTTTTTAAGTTTTTTGCTATAGGGTGCGTGCGCTCACCAGAAAGAGAGAGAGAGGGAGACAGAAAGCGAGAAATCACCCCCAAGGGGAGATGGCCATGCCACAATCCCTTCTCCAGTCTCTTCTCAGGATCTTGGGCACGCACGCACACACGCCCGGCGTGAGTTTAAGCCACTGAGTTCAAGCCACTGAGTTCGAGACTCGAACCTCAGTTGACTACATGGGAGTACAGCAACATAGCTGTTATGCCAACTGCTGGTCCTTGATGTGCAATTTTTAAGTGAAACTTACTCTGGAGCGTTGCATAATTCTTTTTGGAGGATGTAAGAATTCCCTTACGTCCAGAAAGGATTGTTTATGTCCACTCTGGGCAACAGCACAATTTATTCATAATCCCCAGACAGTCTAACTATTTTTCCCACTGCTGGAATGAGAGCGCCTACTGAATTAACAATTTTAGATTTCTCATTTCATGAACTTAGCCCTTGTAATCTTACAACACAGGACTGAGGGCAAAGAATCTAGCCCAGCTTTTACTAAGATGCCCTCTTTGGCATGTTAGAAATAGTCTTCTCATGGAAGGTTCACAGGCTAAATTCTCATCTGATCTAAGTTCCTGGGAATTCTTTTTTCTTTTTAAAAATTATTATAGAGAACATGTGCACATGCATGAGAGAGAGGAAGAAAGAAAAGAAAGAAAGAAAAACAGAAGGTCCTCAACAGGATCTTATCACACTGATCCCTTTTTCTGAGTCTACCAGCTCCTCAGGGTCTTACACACGCACACGCACACACACACACCTGGTGTGTTTTCAGGCCCACCTGGGATCTGAACTCATGGTTGCCCATGTGGCTTCTAGCACTGCAGTCCAGTACACTACAGACTGCGCCACCTAGGCCTGGCCGGGAACTCTCCTCTTACTAAGCCCCTGAGAGTGTGCCTCTGGGGTGTTTTCTTTGCTGGCTCCAGGCCTTATACAAACAGAGCTGTTGAGACAAAGCTTTAGAATCAGGAAGACCTGAGTCTGATATCTGCTTTTAATGCTTCCTGGCTGTGAGGTTCTGTGAGGTGCAAGATATGTAACCCCTTGGTGATTCAATTTTCCCATTTATAAAATGGGATTAGTAAATAGTAATAATGTCTTAGTTTCCTTTGATAATTGAAGCTGAAAGCATAACATGGCTACAGAACAAAACCCAATAATAATAGCCACCATTATAATGACTTTCACCAGTGCTCTAAGACTCTGACCCAGCTTCTAGGATGGAAGACTTTATGCTGCTCCTGTGCACATTCTGATTGATTAACAGGCTCTGTGTTAAGAAGGAAGATGAGGGCCAGCAGGTGGCAAGGAGGTTAAGGTGCTGGATTCCCACATGGCTGACTATGGTTCGAGTCCTGGACCTGATGGCTTGAGACTCATGCTGGGCACATGTGCATGTGTGGCCCAAATCCTAGGAGGTGAATGGAAGACAAGGAAGTGGTGTGGTCATTGTGGTGTGGCCATCCTCTTGTGGTGATTTTTCACTTTCCCTTTCACTGTCTCTCTTGTCTCTTCAGTGAGTGCACACACCCTATGGCAAAAACAACAAAAACGAAGGAATATGAGAACTCATGTTTAGGTTTAGAGAGAAAGAATAGATATGGTTGGAGGACCATTCATTCTTGTCTTTGTCCCTCTTGAACCCCGTGCCTTATGTGGCTGAACAAGTGTTAGAAATTCTTTACAGGCTGAGGGAGCTTGTCTAGCGGGACCAAGATCACTCAGATTATTTTCAGGGTGGATTTTTTAAAAAAATTATTCTTAATTTTTAAATTTTTATTTTTTTAAAGAAATATTTTATTTAACTTTATTTATTTAATTTTACTAGAAAGGGACTAAGTCAGAGAGAGAGAGAGAGCGAGAGGGAGAGAGAAAGAAAGTGAGAAGGCAAGTTGCCAGGTCCGGGACTTGAACCACTGTCGGTCATGTGGGAGTCTAGCGCCCTTAACCACCACACCACCTGCCGGCCCTCTCAGAGTGGATCTTAATGTCAAGTGACACACTTACAAATAATCAGAGGCACATCCTCAGCATGGACTTGTGTATAGTTATGTGCACCCGAGTACGGTCACACACAGGCGCGCGCACATGCGTACATCCATACACGTGAGATGTCGGACTGTCCCAACCATGGCTCAGTGAACTTACTTGTTGGAGAAGCTGCTTTGCCTTGGTGCCTCCATTTATAGTGAAAACAGTGAAGGGCTCTGGGCCTGGGGCCCCATGCACTGTGACTCTGTGAGTCTGCAAACATTTTCTCTCTTCTGTATTAAACATCTGTCAAGAAGAACACAAAGTTTCTCCTCACTCTGAAGAACAGGGCACTGCGGCTCTATTCAGTGTTGAAGTGCTAGTCCTCAGAACTACGTGTGGGGACATCAATGCCAAAGACGAAGATCCGTTTATACCCGCATGCAGCTTAGGGTAGAGAGGTGATGGTCCGTCTTCCTCCGTAGTCCGGTAGGATATTTAGCAGCACGTGGAATATTAATTCATTTTAAATCAGTGTCTCTTTCCATCATTATTAGGGACGGGTATTATCCGAAATGCACATTTGTCCTTACTCCTGAAGTGACATTCACTATATTTACTGAGTTTCATTTCTCTGCAGGGCACTTGGATAGGGTTTTGGACAATAAAATGATCAATAAAATGCCCTGCCCTTGGAGACTCAGCATCTAGGCACATCAATAGATTGCACAGCGGCCAGCAGGTGGTGCGGAGGGTAAGGCGGCTGGACCCCACGTGGCCGACAGCACTGTCTGAGTCCCAGACCCACACTAGGTGTCTGTGTGTGCCCCCAATCCTGAGAGCAGAATGAAGAAGGAATGGTGGCTTGACCATCCTCCTGGGGAGTGCTTTCTCACCTTCTCTCTCTGTGTCTGTCTCTCTCTCTCTGGTGAGTGCACACACTCTATAGCCAAGAAAACCACCACCACCACCACCACCACCACCACCAAAACCCAAAAAACATAATGGAACTAACTAACTACTTAACTAAAACAGTTTCTTGTTTAAATAAAGCACCCGGCAATAGCGGGGTAAACTCTGGTCCAAGGGCTCTTGAACTTCAGTGGGCACAAACCTTCCGTGGGGACCTTGTTAAAGTGCAGCTTATGCCTCTCCCCGCACCAGGACACACTGTATGTCTCTAACCATGCCTGTCGCTCACCGCAGCCCTGCTCCTCCTGAGCCTTCCGCTCCTGGTCTGCTGAAAAAGCGAAAGATTTTCCTGCTCAAACCTGAAGTTTCTAGAAAAATTGAGATGCTTCTTGCCAGTCTTGGCTTAATCAGCCTTTCCCTGTTTTTTTTAATCACACTCTTCAGAGAGAGACAGAGAGATAAAGACAGAGGGAGAGAGAGGAAGCCCTCTACAACGGGACGTGGCCATGCTGCTATCCCTTCTCCTCCATTTCTCCATCTTGTTAGGACTTGGGGCTCACACTTGTGCCTGATGTGTTTTTCAAGCCACTTGGGCTGGGATTTGAACCATGGTTGCCTGTGTGGGATCTGACTCCCTTAACCATTAGCTACGGGACTGGCCATTTTATTAACTCTGGCTGACCTCTTTGGCAGACACAGCGATGTGCTCATTAAGACTATAGGCTTTGGGACTCTACGAATGTAGGTTTAAATCCAGGTCTGCTGCTTTTCAGCTGTGTGACCTTGGACACAATCCTGTCTTCCCTTCCTCACCTGTGACCTAGAGAGTCAGGAATAGGACCTCTTGAAGTTATTCAGAGGTTTGAGTGAGTAGCTCTGAAAAATGCTCACTAAAGCCCAGCATCAGCCCTTTGTATTGATTAGGTAGCATGGACAGAATGGCGGCCTAATCAGTAACTCTCACCCCCTACCTGCACCACAAGAAAGCCCACCTTCAGGGAATGGAGCCCCACGCAAAAGCTGAGTGACACAGAACTTAATTACCAAAGAAGCCGGCACGGTACTGCCAGCAGCAGCCTCTTCCATCCTCCTGCTGTTTATAAATAAACTAGAGATCTCCAAGACTTCATTGTGGAGGTTTCGCAGCTGAAGGTGTCGATATCCTGGAATGATGCAGAATTGAGAAAAGCGTGTGAGCCATGAGCTGCAGACTCAGCAGAGGAGAAACCCCAGGGAGGCCAATACGTGACACGTAGAAAGAGGACCTCAGAAAGGGCAGGTGTCATGCGTACTGCCAGCAGGTATCTTTTCTCTGGAAGAGTGCTACCTCCTGGGATGGTTTTGGGACACCCAGTGGTAATTAATTGTCCAGATCTGTTTCTGAATTACACTAAAAAAGAAAACCTTTAACACAAACAAAACGCAGTAGGAAAACCTGAACATTTTGATACTGAAGCCTGATCATTTTGATACCAATGCATCTACAATTTATTTTTTAAATATTTCATCTTGGAGCAGCTTTAGTGATAATAACAATATGGTGTGAGTGTTACGTAGAAACATAAAATGGAATATGAGGCAGGCAGTGAAAGCGGTCATGTAGATGTATCATTATCCACATGAAAAGTTGCTCATTACCTACATTAGTGAGAACTGCTAAGCTGCAAAACACCAATATCAGTAGGTGTTAAAAATCTATTGGGATGCTCACATGGGCCAAGGAATAAGGCCTGCAGAAGATGTACGCTAAAAGTGATTGTTAGAAAGATGGAAAAATCAACAATTAAAAACATATTTTTTACTCTCTTGTACTTTCTCACGTTTCTCTGATAACAGTTATGGACTGAACTGTGTCTCCTCCCCACCCCCAGCAACATGTCGAAGCCCTAACCTGCAGTATCTCAGAATGCTACTACATTTAGAGTCAAGGCTTTGAATGAGGTAATGAAGGTGAAACAGGACCATTCAGGTGGGCCCGAATCCACGAAGACTGGTGTGCTTATTAGAAGAGGAGGTTGGGGTGGCATAGTGGTTAAAGCACTAGACTCTCACATGGCTAAACGCAGTTTGAATCCCAGACCTGGCAGCTTGAAACTCATGCTGAGTGTGTGTGCATGTATGCCCAAAATCCCAAGAAGGGACTGTGGCATGACCATCCATCCCCCTGGGGGGAAGATTTCTTGCATTCTGCTTCTCTGTCTCTCTGGTGAGCACATGTGCCCTATAGCAAAAAAATGAATAAATAAATAAAAAAGAGGCAGTTAGGACATAATACGGACAGAGGGTTGGCCTTGTGAGGACACAGTGGGTAGGATGATGCAGAGTGGGGAAAAGCCAGGTTTGGAAGAAACTAACCCTGCAATCACCTTGATCTTGGATTTCCAGTCTTCGAAACTGTTAGGGCGTTAAGTGTCTGCTGGTATTTTACTACAGCAGCCCTAGCCCTGGCTAATGGGAACCACTGGGGCTACTTGCACCGTGGAGACAAGCAATAGGAACAGAACGGACAGCAGCCGGCTGCGGCATGTGAATGGAGCTCAGAGATCAGCTTGAGTGTGCTCGCGGGAGGAACCCTGGTTCTCGGGGTGGACCAGCAGAGTCTGTGTCCCTGGGAGCTCGTTAGGAAGGCAGGAGCTCAGACCCACTTAGTCAGGACTGCAGCGGTCACCGCGGGCTGGTTACCATGCGCATTAATCGTTGAGAAGCCATGCACAGGCCACACACTCCTTGGAGGGCCACAGCCAAGCCAACAACAAACCAACAGCTTAACCTTTCTAGGATCCTCCCTCCCTCCCCCCCTGCCAGCTGCCTGCTCAGCTTTGCACTTAACCAGTGCCCCTGGCTTCTAACCCTGGGCTCCCGCCAGGCACCGACCACCCTCGGGTCACTATGCCACAACTACACCCAGCCCTCCCTTCTTTCAGTTTCCTCTTCTTCAATCCCTGCTTTAAATTTGCCAGGGATGCTACGGGTGCTGCTTGGGAAGGAATGTGTGGAAATCGGAGTGTAATCACTCTCAGCCTCGACATCTGCAGGGGTAGGCAAGCCTTTCCAAGTGATGTTGTCTATACCTTGGTTTTAAAAAAAATGCAAAGGAAACACGTTTTTTTTTTTCGAGATGTGCTTAAAAAAATGTTCAAATATGAACTTCCTTCTGTCTCTTATTTTAACTTTTTCCTGTGAAAAATGCAAACACATTCAAAAGTAGAGTGAAGACTACCACGAACTCTGGCATCCACCCCAGAGCTCAGAGATTAACGTCGGAACGATTTTATTCTACCTCGTTTTAAAGCCTTGAGCGGAATGATTCTCTGAGCAGTTACCGCTGAGCTGTTGTTTTCCACAACTGCAAAACGAAGGAATACGAGATCTTCAAAGTGAACCCGGAACAGAAACTGCTCGTTCCACATGGGGTTCAAGGTGTTTCGATGGATGGGCTTTGTGCGGAAGTGGCAGCTGTCCAGGGGCATGCCCAGGACGTCGATCTCAATGCATGGGCTGCCCGTGCTGTTACTCGGGCACACGTTCTGACCAGAGACGATCTGAGGGGGAAGAAAGGGCTGCGTCACTGAAGGGGAGAACGAGACAAAGACCACCTCCACCCCTTCCCTCTGCAGAGAAGATCGAGAACACGGGAATGGACGAGGCAAACGATTACTACCGCTGTTTAAAAGAAGTATGCGGAGTACGAGATTGTCATCAGGTGGTCACATGTGTGGACTCGTGTGTAAAGCCTATTTTGTCGAAAGCACTCACTGAACTGTGATCTTTCAGCTGCCAAAATGCTCAAATAGCTTCAAAACCCAAACAATTGAGATGAAATTAAGTTTTTTCACAGCAGACCAGAGAAAAAAAGACCCGCAATGTAACCACAAATTGGTTACAAATGTTTTGTTTAAAATGCTGTAAAACCATATTTTATAGCTTCCAAATCTTTTTCTTGAATGCTTTAGTTTTGGAGCAAGTCACAAGCATGCTATTCTGTAAACAGAAAACATAAGTCTCTCTCAAATGGTCAAACAGAAGAGTGGCTATTGTCCTACTCTCTTAGGAAAAGAGAAGGAGCAGTTTGAGCTGGAGGAAAAAGTGCGAAGGGGGTTAAATGAGGAGTCTGGGATGTCATGAGCAGGGGATGGTTTGACATTCTTTAGGAGACAGGGAGAGACTAAATCCAAAGACAGAGGAGAGACTTTGTTTTTCCTTCTATCCTATCTCCCACTCAGCTCTTATTTTTTCTTTCTGTTAGCTAAGAGGGAGCAGCTTGAAAGTCATCTCAGGCACATGTGCCCCAAATTCCAGGGGGGAGAATGGAGGAGAAATGATTGTAGTGTGGCCATCCTTCTAGGGGGGAGGTTGATTTTTCTCACTTTCCCTCTCACTGTCTCTCTCTGTGTCTCTCTCCAGCAAATGCATGTACCCTATGGCAAAAACAAATAAAACAAACAACAACAATCCAAAAAAGACAGAAAGCAAAGTTGGGTAGAAAACCACCAGGTCTGTTTTCAGATGGAGTCTGTAGAGTTTTGACAGTAAGTTCATCAGAAGATAAAACGAATAAGGATGGGTCCAGGAATGATGTAAGTGAAGCTCTATGGAGGAAAGGTACTTCGTCGGATTGTATAGTGACCCAGTGTATCTGATCTTAGAGCTCGCTGGAGCTTCGGAAGATGTCACGAGGAGCTCAGCTTTTCTGGGATGGATTCAGAGTTAGAATTCCGTGGACTGTGGATGCAGAACTGCCATCACGGGCATCAGGTAAAGCAGGGACCTCACACCGCCCCCTCCTTGGCTCTGGCAGACACGGTGCCTGGTGACAACATATCTAACCATGACTTCTGCTTTCTGGGAGATAAATTATTTTGGGGGATTAAATCTGCATGACCAAAATTGTGACATGACGGCTGTGAAATGCCATGAATTCAGAACCAGTTCACATTCAGGAGGCTTGAACACCTCCCTGTATTCTTACAGTAGGGGCCCTCCTTACAGTTAAAGAATAGATGGCAGGCTCCATGTTGTCTAGCTCTCTTTCCAGTGGAGAAAACTTCTGATACATGGGACAGTTTTTGTCCCACAGAACCGGGGGTTTCAAAACATAACCACAGCCACCATTCGCCTCAAACATTGCAGCATTTAAATGTAAAGGAAGATCTGCAAAACAAACAAACACGGAGTCAGTATTGCTGGTTATGCTGTCTCTTATGTATCACTTTTAAATTTACAGTTTTTTTGCATCAATTTTCCCTAAACTCAAGCATGGAGAAAAAACAATCATCCTTTCATCTGATAGACCGATGAGTCCCACTCTGACAGGTTATGTCAGGTCACAGAGATACAGCAAGTAACAAGGTAAAAATCCTCTTCATGGGGGCCAGATGGTGGCTTGGTAATAAAACATAATGCTTTGCAAGGCAGACCCACAGGGGTAGGTTACCAGTTCAGGTACAGAGACCTCCTAGAATACGCTGGGCACACATGTGCTGGATGGAGACCTCCTAGGCTACGCTGGGCACACATGTGCTGGATGGAGACCTCCTAGGATATGCTGGGCACACGTGTGCTGAATGGAGACCTCCTAGAACACGCTGGGTACAGGTGTGCTGAATGGAGATCTTGTAGAATACACCGGGCATGTGTGTGCAGGTGATCTAGGCTGGCGGAGGCTGGGGGAGGGGCTCAGTGTCAGGACCTGTTGGGGATATTGTATCTCTTTCTCTCTCATAAACAAATGAACCGAAAACAATAAACCTGTCTTCATGGAGCTAACGGTCTATGGGTATGCCCAGTATCACCACTCCAAGCCCAAGTCCTGCCACTTACAAACTTCTTTTGCAAATAAAAAATCTACCACATCCATCTAAAAAATCTTGTTACATATTTTATTTTATACTACATTTTGGAAAGAAATAATGACATCTTCTTATTCCTAGCACCAACCCATGCAGACACTCTATTGGCCAATCCTTGCTATTTCTAATGCAAGATAAAATCTTAAATTGTACAAGAAAGGATAGAAAAACAGCCAGAAAAACACAGCTATTTCTTAAAATCTCCATTTCAACCCATAAATTACAATATTCCTACCTCTTTTTTTTATCGTAGTTAAATATAAAAAGAGAAGTCATCATCACATATGATTCACATCATGTCCATAATCCCCTTCACTTCGGGAACCCTCACAAAGGCTTTGAGTCTTCTGTGGCCAAATTTTACTTGGCACATTCTTTGATGAACGATTGTATCCCTGCACCGCTCCTGGCCTCTTACACACTCGAATGCTCATTTGATGGTGCAAGTCTGTATGAAAGTTTCCCAAATGAGCAGAAAGTTTATGAGACACACCTGACAAATGTTCCCTCTGATAGATTCCTTCCTGTGTGCAGAATGAACTTCGCCACGTGGACTGACATCAAGGAAGAGTGTGTGAGTGCCTTGGCGGGACAAGAAGTTGGCCCTCACTCGTCTTATGTGTAAAATTTCCTGTGAACATGGGCCTGGTCAGGATTACAGGCAGAATTCCTGAGAGAAGATGTCTTAGACATAGAAACACTCTTTGGGTCTCGGTCTGCTCATCTGTGAAGTTAGTGTCTAGGACCCCGTCTCTCAGGCCTCTTCTGGTCCAGACCTGACTGATTCGGCCGTGTGTCTCAGCTGCAGGGGAGGAAGTCCTCCCCGTAGAGGAGCACAGACATGGCTAGGCCTGCTAAGAGAGCAAAGCTAATGCAGGATAGTTAGTGTGAAATGGGTATTTCTTCTTATTATTGTTTGAAATTTCCAATAGGGTATATGTACCGGTTAGAGAAACATAGAGAGGGAGAGAGAGAGAGAAAGTGAGAAAGCATACTCAGGGGATAACCACCCTGCAATCCCTCCCCCTCCATTCTTCTCTTGGGATTTTGGGCATGCATGCCCAAAGTGGGCATGTGCCCAGAATGTTTCCAAGCCACCTAGTCCAGGACTTGAACCAGACAGCCGACCATGTGGGATCTAGCGCCTTAACCTCCATGCCACCTGCTGGCCCCCAGATGGAGATGTCAATAGAAAAAATACGTCATGACTTTTCCAACAACCCAATATATTATTAATGGCAGGAATTGCAGCTCCACTCCCTGTGCTCCTCCTAAGTACCAGATGCCATTCTAGGTCCTGCGTGTGCACCAGGTGCCTCCCAGTAGCCCCTGAGGTAGACTCTTTCAGTGTTTCCATTTTATACACGAGGAAACTGAGGCACGAGGAAGTAAAAGCACCCAAAGTACATAGCCGTTACAGTAAGTGGTGGAAGCTACAACCTGAGCCTATTTGGCCTGACCCTTGGTCTCCGCCCTGAGCCGTGTAACACCCATCACCTAAGAGTGCTGTTCTGATATATAAGATGGCGTGAAAGTCCCTACCCCTGCATGTGGCACGTAGAAGAATAAACAGTAACCGTATGTCAGATCACGGTGCCGACCCTATCTGGGTTTGAAGTCTGACTGGCAGTGCGTCCATCCTAATAGCTTTCCAACTTAAGGAAGATCTCACTTGACCTAACGTGTAAAACAGATCATGTGGATCTGCTGTTTGCAATGAAGGTGGAACCTGAAATCTAGTCCTCTTACTGCCCCCTGCGGTCCCCAAACCTCATCTCAACCTACAGTTAGGAAACTCCAGTCCAAGCGAGTGCGGGAGTATGCGCCATCGGTACCGTCCAGTGACTCCTCTGCATCAACGCGTGTGATGGCAGAGCAGGCGGACCACTGCCTTTATAGCCTTCCAGTCGTTTAAACAATCCTGCATTAACACACACCAGCCTCAGAATACTGCTGTCTATATTGGGGGCTGTGAAAGTCATAAAAAGTATAGCTATCACCCAAGAAGTCAGAGTAAGTATTTCAAAAAAGAGGCTGTTCTTTTGACTGGGGTTGCTTGTTTACATCCCTACAGGTCACGAGGCAGGAATCATCCTACCCCAGATGGAAAGACCTGAGAGGGACTGTGGTCTGAGACAAGCAGGGTCTGCATGCCAGCTCAGGTCCACTTCCCAGCTCAGGAGTTGGTTTTACTGAGTGTGGACCTGGGGTACTCCTGCTTCCAGGTCACTGCAGACCTTCTTGGAGTTGACAGAGCTAGCAGAAAGTCTGGAAAAAAGATGGCCTGGATACCCCTTGGGGCACTTGGGTCTCCTGGGATCCAGGAAGTAGGAAGGCAGATGATCTATGGAATGCTGTGTGTGTGTGTGTGTGTGTGCGCACATGTGTATGTGTGTGTTATATAACATCCTTCCCAGATTGGATGAGGCTGAAAAACAGGAGTTTGAACCTCAACACCGTCACCCACCTCCCTGCGTTGGAGCAGGTGGAACACGTACTCCTGGCTTGAGCTGGGAGGGGGCAAACCTTCAGGGGTGAGTGCAGGACAAGCTGCAGCTTCTGTGTGGGCTGCTGGGCTGTGGGGATGCCCGAGGAGAGCAGCCTCCTGTGTCCCCTTTAGCTGTGGCTCCCTCTGCCATCACCAGAGCCAGTGTGTCTACACCAGTCTTGGCACTTCAGGAGAAGGCCATCTCCAAAACCAAATGCATTTCCATTTTCCAGTACCCTAATAACCATGGGAATGCATGGGCACAGGGCTACAGGCCGGGCAGAGATGTGCACTCACAAGCCATTTGGGAAAGACTGAAAAAAAAAACCCTAAAAAAACCAAAAACCAGAAAATAAAATTTTTACAACTTTGGAATTATTTCACTATTGTTTCCATTTGCGCGTCCAAATCATACTGTCTTCATAACTTATCGAATGCTCTTTATGATAGCTAGTATTTGTGGAATGCTTTCTGCCTGCCAGGCCCTATGGTGAGTATGGCACTTCACCTGCATTATTTTATTACTTTCCAGTTGAAAGAAGCAAGTGTAACAAGGGCCAAACGATTTCGGTATTTCTGACCATACGTATGGCCATGCGTAGGCACAACTGGGACCGTGCCAGGTAGCTGCTGGTCCCAGAGCTAGCGGTGTCTGACCTCAGCTGGAGGCAGGGTTGCACTGTGGTTTACGGTTC